TCCTGAACTCAGCAAGTGGCTCTGGTTCATCCAGGAGGAACTCCAGAGCTGTGTCCACCACCTGTGGTGCTAAAGGCTCAGTGGTCTGCTGGAGCTTGGCGAGCAGAGCCAGTTTGGAACGCTTGCTGGTGTGAGAGCCAACGAAGGAGTCGAGCAGCTTGTTGGACAGGTGGCGGAGGAAGGTTTGTACATGCTGCTCTGCTTTCGGGCGGATGACTGAGAGAAACATTTGAAGACCTTCCAATGTGACCTTCATATGGTGGGAAGATAAAGCCAGGAGAGGAGTGAGAGACTGCGGGGTGGTAAAGGAGTGACTCATGAGGATTTCTTTTATCTTTACCTTTCTTCTGAGCTGCCGTGAAAGGCGGTTCTCTTCTTCAAGTTCCACCCAGACCTCTTGCTCCATCTGGTCCACACAGACGCGCCTTGCTGAGGTCCAGGCCTGAACACATCTCTCATTAGTTAGTCTCAGCTGGTATAGTTCAGGCTTTATGTTACAGGTCTGTCATTTTCTACAGCTTTAATATAAGGGTTTTTTAAGTTAGTTTACTTAGGATTACTTCTGTCTTTACAAAAGAGCATGTCTGTATATACTTTTCATTTAATTATTTACGCTTCGTTTGTAATAGATGTTTGTAATGTAAATAATGCAGTATTTTAAGTATTTTAAAAACTTTAATAATGCAGTATTTAAAATATTTTAACTATCTATACTTCTCTAATCCTAGTTTACTAGCTAGCAAATCTACATCAATCGTAAGCTAGCTAGTTAGCTACTTAAGTATTGTTTCACTAAAGTTAAGCAACTACATATATCGTTTATTTATCTTCAAAACTCTTGTCAACTCTCAATTTGCGTTAACTGTTGCGATGTTACGATCGCAACAGTTAACGCAAATTCAACCAATCCCTGGGAATTCTCTGTGTAACTACTTCTCACTGGAACAAGCTGCCTTAAATATTTTATGAATTATACAAAAAAATAATATTTTTTGCAATTTTCACTTTCTCTCGCAATTTAATTGAAAGAAAATGCTTCAAACATTGTAACATGCATCGCAATTTTTTAGAGAAGCTGCTGTAAAATCAGACATTTTAGGCCTCAACAATTCCCCCCCAAAAATCCTGAAGGGACTGACATTAGCTATATATCTAAATACAGGAAGCAGAAAGTTGACTGAGGTTCTGACTGATGCATACTCAACTCTTATTGGAGCACAGTGCGTAAAGGAGCGGGACTTAGGAGGGGTTAATTGTCACACCACTAAGAAAAAGTTACATAACGTTAACTAACTTTAAATGTACTTTTATATGCTCTATCACTCAGTCAATATGTTATATTTACCAATTCAGCCACAAGTAGCTTCCTTGCCTCTGCCACTTTAGTTATTTCCTGGAACCTTTCAGAATAAGAAAGATTTAGTTATCCATGTTGCAATTTTTCATTTGCAGCAAGCTTTAATCTAACATGTCACTGTGGACTCACTCTTCCAGGAAGCTTCTTCCAGCCAGCAGCCAGCTCTTCATGTCTTTATCAGATAAATAAATGGGAACTTGATACTGCAGCTTCATGATCACAAACTGCCTCATGAGCATCTTCTGAAAGATAGATTCCGTGTACAGTGAATCAGTTGACTCAGAGACGCCTTAGTGTGCTGCTGAACGCATCTTTACATTTACAGCGGTAACACTGACCTCAGCTCTGTAGCGCTGTTTCTCTGTCACTGAGAAAGAGGACGGTCTCATGTGCGCAGCTTGCTTCAGAATGCAGTCAGTGTCCATGTTGAACAGTGGTCAAACTCCTGGGGGTAACAGGAAACACTCATTTAGTAGAATTCAGTTGGAAAAAGTGTGTACCATAATACAGTGGTATGATATGCATTTGAATTGACTATATTGCTGTTTTAAAGAGGGGGTTGTGGAGAACAGGACTTGGGGTGGGTGTTGCTGTTAGAGATTATGTGATGATTTTGCATCATTTGAATAAAACATTCTGAACTACCCTCAGTGCAGGCAGGGATGATAATATTACCCAATCCTTTTGAATAATGATATAAACAGCCTTTATTATTAACGTTAGATATTAGTGGAGCACTCGACCAAATACATCACCAGGGTGTCAATTTGTCATTATAGTATCCCCACTTTACGGAACTAGCTACAGGTTGTCTTTCCTGATGAAGAACAGTTCATATGAAAGAATCATTAGGAAACTTTACATACCTGGTACAAAGAGAGAGTTGCTACAGTCTGAGTGAAGAAGGAAGTGCTTTCAGATGGTTTAAAAGCTTGTTCAGACAACAAGAATGGAGAATCTGAACGGATCCCCTCAGGCTGGCGGTGGTGATGTTTGTGTGTGTGTGTGTTGTTTGTGTGTAGGTGTGTGTGTGTGTGTATTTCTGTGTCTGTGTCTGTGTCTGTGTGTGGAATATACAGTTGACATCATCTGCATCATTCTGATGCTTCCTGTCAACAAAACGTTACCATGGGGCTCGCACTCAAAACAAAATAATAATAATTACTTATCTTGCATTTCCTGGCTATTTTTGTCTTTTAAAAAAACTTTAAGTAGCAATTTCAAAAAGTTTTATTTCAATTTCTGTCCAGTGTGTAACATTCAGGAGGATCTATTGTCAGAAATAGAATATAATGTTCATAGGTATGTTTTCATTAGTGTATAATCAGCTGAATATAGGAATCATTGTGTTTTTGTTACTTTAGAATGAGCCGTTAGGGAGCGGGTCCTCTCACATAGCTCACATTTCAACAACAAGACTCCAGACTGTTAATCTCTAAATATAATTCCATTGTTTTCACTCAAATAGAATTTCAAAATTATAATTTTGCAAAAGACTTTTTGTCTGCATCAGCTGATGAAGCTTTTCTTTTTATATTCTGGCCTCTTCAGCTCCCCCTTTTCTCTTTCTGTTCTCCATCTTGTCTTTTTTTAATGTACTCACATCTTCTACCAAGTGCCCCTCACTGTTGTATGCAATTCTAGGCGGTGATCAGGAGGAGGTCAAAGGTCAAATGTAATTAAGTCATCGATCAGGTGACCAATCGTAACCTCCTGAGCTTCTGCGAGTGTAGCCTACATGATCTGTGTATAAAATGATTGTCCACTGGGCAACTTCCTGTTTCTCCCGATTAGTCACTTAGGGCTTTTTATTTAAGGCTGATTTTTAATGTGACATTAGACATGATTAGTTATTGTTTTTGCTTTTCAGTCAGATTGTGTGCATATTACTTTTAATTTTACACACTGATATCAGTTTACTCTTCATGGCATCGGGGGGTCAAACAAGAGAGGTGCTTTATAGTCCTTTAATGAGGATTTTTGGCCATTGATGCCTTCCTATATTGTTGACTTATTCATGCTAATCATGCTATATGCATTTTACTTCTGTTCCTACCCAGCATGCATCATTAAGTGCATTCATTTTTTTTGTTTGGCTACTTGTGAACAGCCAATTTCCGTATCGAAATTGTTTCTTGCACAAAAACGCAATTTTAGACCTGCTGATAGCTGAGAGCTCCACTTTGTGGTATTCAAGGTGTGATGTACAACAACAACATCTAGCGACTGCTGGTTTTACTGAGTCCGAAAGGAAATAGAACACAGAAAGCCTCATTACAGCCACATCAGTCGGCCTTTCCAGGTGTCTCACTGTGACTTGAGTTGGTTGATGTGATATTTGTTGGCCAAAAATAAACTGATGTGTCATAACACCATGCACTGTGCAAATGAGGAACTGTCAAGTTTTTGTGTGTTTTGGGCAAACTTAGTGTTAGTCAGTGCTGACTCTGAACAACAGCTGCTTGAGTTGAAATGAGAGGCTGAAAGTTAAATATAATTAATATAAATAATCAGATCATCAGAAAGTCTTTGTACATTGTTCATTGTAGTTGTGTTTTAACTAAATTATATTCAGTGCTTTATTGTACTGCAAACACTTCTAACAGTAGCCTAATCTTAACCATCATCATCATAATTATCATCATAATCATCATCATCATCATCACCGTGGTAACAGAGGATCTCATAAAAGAGTTTTAAAAAAAAGATAACTAACTAAATACATAAATAGCATAAGAAACAATATAAGCAGTAAAATGAGGCCATGAAAGCAAATCATAACATGGACAAATGTTTGTACATCATAAATAAATGATAATAATAAATCATCATCATCATTTAAAATGTGCCTATGAAAAAGTAAAGAAGAAGCTGGAGGGGAGTTGCACGGTCCAACATTAGTAAGTCAAGTCTGCCACAATAAGAGACGGAACTTCCGGTACAACCTTTCAAACTAAAACGGAACGTTGCATAAAAACAAATGCCAGGCAAATATATGTAACCACTTTCAAATCAATCATTAGCAGTCATTCTTCTTCATGATAATTATGATTGTGTGTATATATATATTTATAAAAGTATCCTAGCATAAATTACACACTGGCAGGTAGTATTCAAGTGCTTTATAAAAACGTTTAACTTCCACAGAAATAGACAAACAAACAAACAAATTAGTAGGTAGAGGCAGCAGTTGGCTAGTACTTCTTGGACTGAAGAAGAAGAAAACGAGAGAAAAGAAGAAATGGTAGCTCCTGAAGAAGAGCTAGTCTAATGGGGCTAACATTGCTATGATAAGTGTTAGCCTAATGGGGTAATATTAAGGGTAGTTTCAACCTTGGCCCGTACTATTACTCCCAAACCACAATAGTCCTATTAGCAGTATAATAGTTGTAGTAGTTATGTAGTTGGAGAACTCATGGAGAAACCACTGGGCTAAAGGTCCACTTACTATTTTCAACTATTTCCAAGCACACGTTCTTCCTCAACAGAGGGAGTGTGCTCTGTAGTGAGATAGCTTGTCTCGTGTTCGCTCACTTTGAAACCTGTTGTGCTTTTACTTTGAATTCAGACATCTCCAGCTTCCGGTGTCCGCCTCGCTCCGTGCAGCTTGCCGCTAGTCCGATCGCCTCAGACGGCGCTACAGGCTGGTAGCAGGCTGGAGGAGCGGCAGAGCGGCGAGGGAGGAGGAGGAGAAGAACCTGTTCACTGACTTCACACCACTTTGGCTCCGCTCCTGTCCTGTACGACCCGTGAGCGACACCGGCTCTAAACTCGGACACAAACTTGATTGAAAAAGTTCGATTGTTGTCTGGAGGAGCGAGGAGGGGGGGACGAACCATCGGCATCTGTGCGGGAAGAAGTTGCGATGTCTGGATCGTACTGCAAAAGTTTGTACCCGTTCAGCGGGGAGCAGCACCAGCAGGGACTGAGCTTCGAGGCCGGGGACATTATTAAAGTGGTCCAGGCTCTGCCCGGAGGCTGGTGGGAGGGAGAGAGGGATGGAGCCAGAGGATGGTTCCCCTCAAGTTATGTCCAGGTCCTGGAGGTAAGGGTCTATACTCACTGTCGTTAGGTATTGGGACTCATTACAAGTCTTAATTGGATGTAAAATTGCTTAATTGACTTTAACTCTTTTATAATTTTGTTCTGTTTTTGGGGACATTTTGGGGTCATTTTCTCTCTCTATCTCTCTCTCTCTCTCTCTTCCACTCACATCACACACACACACACACACGATGTGACAGGGGTAGAGGGCTCAGAGCACACACACTCACACACTTGAGGATAAAGGCAGCATTGACAGATGCACTAATGAATCGTTTTCCCGTGCTGTGCTTATCAGATTAACTCCAACCTTCCCAGCAGTCAGCAGCTCTCCGCCTGCCTGCACACTTCCTCATTCCACGCACATTCCAGTCAGATACTCAGGTCTCCTCTCTGTGCGCCTGAATGCTCAGGACATGCTGCTCTCTCCCCCTTCATGGTCAGCCCCTCCCTTCCCCACCCAGCCTCCCTCTCTGGCTCCTCCACGGAGTTCACACACTCTCCTGCAACTTAGAAACAGATCTCACATTTTTCTCGTTGAGTTTGTTTCTTGTGAATTGTGGCCGTGTGATGGGATTGATAGTTTGTGGTAGAGTCAGCGCCGCCGCCCCGTTTTCTGACAGTTTGTTGTAATCAGCTTGTATCCAACAGGGACAGGCGCGACGCCAGCACTCTCAGCGACATGCCACCAGTGCTGCCATTTTCATCACGTCGTCTTTGCTCTGAATGCGAGAAGATATAAAGGGTAACATGATTTGTGACCCAGTGGCACCAGAGCAATGCCTCCTCCCTCCTCCCTCACTCCTCCCTCCTGACTCCGGGCTCCTGCTGGTTTAGATACTGCAGGATCACATAGACCTGTGGCAGCAGACGGTTCAGGCACAACATCCTTTATCATTTCTCAGACCAGTTTCAGGAATGGAGTTGGGAGGGGGGGGCATCCACCCTGCACAGGTTTGTAGATGAGCTTCAGCTTGAACTCTGACCTGTATTTAGTGGATTGAAAGGAAAGTGAGCTTGTCTGTAGGGATCAGCCTTGATTAAGTTATTCTGGTTCAGTGATTTGAATGCTGAAGTATAACAATAGTAACTCAGTCTGATTATCAGGCCATGATTAGCTACGACTAATGGAAAATAGAGATGAAACAGTGTTTCTTGATTAATCCACAACCATTTCCATCATCAGTTTTCAAACAGATTCCAGACATTCACTGGTTCCAGTTTATCTCCATTAAAGCTGCACCAGTAAATCAGCCGGGCCGATCTATTGGTTTATGGTAGCCACACTATGTGACCACAGCCTGTGAGAAAGCAATACATTCTGCTACCTAAAAATATATTAGCTAATTGTGTCATGTGATGTAAATGAACTTTTCCCATTCAAAATCAGGGCCTTGGCGCTGCCCCTCTGTGATATCGCAGTGCTGATGGGCCCGACCAATTTATAATCCGTTCCGCGGTCCATGAACTCCCTACAGATATACTGCAACCAGCGTTTATGTCGGCCAATGATGTGACATATTCAGATTATAGCCCAATTGAAAATGGATAGTTGATTGTCAGAGGAACCAGAGTTTTTCACAGATTATCTGTCTCATGTACTACTGTCAGAATATAGTGAAAGTTTAAGCAAATGT